TTCTTATGCAACACAGGCCCACCTGCCCAGGGGTGGCACCACCCACAGTGGGCTGGGCCCTCCCACATCACTCATCAAGAAGATGCCCTTCAGACATGGCCACAGGCCAGTCCAATAGAGGCAATTTCCCGATTGAGGCTCCTTCAACCCAGGTGTGTCAAGTTGACACTAAAGCTATCCAGTACATATATGTAAAACATTCTGGCTATTAATTTAGTTAATACGTTTAAGTGCTTCACATGTATTAACACATGTAGTGCTTGTATGTAATGGGGTCCCAATGTCAAGATCACTGGTAGATTCTTCTGTTATCATCTAACCTCAACAACAGGAAACTGAGATACAAAGGCTAACTCTGCTATGGCACATAGCAGGTATGAAACACCTGAACCCAAGCCTCTTGGTTCCAGAATCTTAGCTCAAGTACGTTCAGGTCAGATCTTTGGTCACAGAATGTTTTCTGGCTCAAGTTTATGTAAACTTTAGGGGGCATCACTAGTCTACAGGACACATTTCACACCGGTGTTTATGTGACTTATAGGTGCTGCCTGCCATGGGGATCTCACAGAGAAACTCAAACTCCTGTATAAAATGCACGTCTTGCCTGGTAAGTCAGCTACACAGAGCAGCATGCTGGTGCCCTGGACTGGCTGGCCTGCCTTCTCCTCTTTTGGTGTCATCTGCCTGATTTAAATGTATAAGATGAATCATTCTGTCACTAAGCACAAACTAGCTCTTATTTACATGAGTTCCTGAATGAGTGCACACTTGATTTGATGGTCATTTACCTGTCTCAGAAAGGAGTTGAGCTCATAGACAACAGCATAGGCATCTTCAAGAAGGGGATTAAGAGCCTTTGGTGACATGTGGAATGCAAGCATTGTAAGGGAGAGGTGAGATGAGCGGTGTTGAGGGCTTGTGTCTTGAGTAGCCATTTAACACTGGCAGGAACTAATGGGTGTGCTGCTGAGACTTAGGACTCAGCTTTAAACAAGGCTGATCTCCGCTGAGGTGAGTCTATGAAAGACTTAGAATAGAAATGAAGGTGCATTGGCACGCGTACAAGATGAAACTAAATTTGGGCATGCTGATAGCATACAGCATTCTACAATTTATTCATAAAGTACTGTTCCCAAAACTTGGGAAATTTCCCCAGTAGAGAGGGAATTGTAAAGAGATGCATTGTGTGGGGCTGTTGAAAAACAGCTGGGAGTTAGAAACGGAGTGAACCCACTGAGACCTTCGTCATTCGTCTGTATTCCATCCCACATTGATAACCTCAGATTCTCATCCTTCCCAGTCATTTTCTTGAGTAGAGTAAACCCACTTTCACTGAGTCATGGCCCCAACACTTTGAGAATCATTTCTTCCTTCTGCAGAGCCATCCTCTGATCAAGATGAGCCCGATTCTGCTTTTGAAGCAACTCAGTACTTCTTTGAAGATATTACCCCAGAATGTACACATGGTAGGTGACACTTCACTGGGACTGTATTTATCTTTATAGAACCTTCTGCTATTGGAAAAGGACTTGCCTCCAAAGCTATATGAAAAGAAGTATCTAAGTAAGGTTGTCTGATACGGCATTTAACTTTTGCATTTTGGAGGCAGCCTTGGGGAACAGGTGTCTCTGCCCATTGAAGGAATTATGTACACTGTATCCTACTGGCTTAGGAAAGTGTGGCCTGCAGAGAAACACACTTCTATCCCTTCCTCCAGGAGATCAGTCTCATTAGAACATTTTCCTGTTAGTGGACAGCTATCCAGAATAGATAGACAATACATTCTCTATCTTTTATACATTCTTCACTTGGGGAGATGGCTTAGTCTATGCAAGCACATGGACCTGAGTTCAGTCCCCAGAGCCCACATTTTTAAAAAGCTAGGTGTTGTGATGTGCGCTTGAAATCCCAGCTCTGGGGAGGTAGAGACAGGCGCTGCACTGAGGCTCCCTGACCAGCCAGCCTAGGCTAATGGACAAGAACCAGGCCAATGAGAGACTGTCTCAAAATCATGGTAGGTAGCCAAGAGTGGTGATGGGTGCCTTTAATCCCAGCACTTGGAAGGCAGAGATGGGAATCACTGTGAGATTGAGCCTAGCCTGATCTACATAGAAAGTTCCAGGATAGCTGGGATTACAGGGAGACCCTGTCTCAAAAAAAAAAAAAAAGCAAGGGAGGTGGAATTTTTGAGGAAAAAC